CCGAAACAATCAAGGCAGACGGTGGGACTATCTGGGAAGATGTCGACGTTGAGGCTGCCAAGTTTGGTCTTGCAACTGTAGGTGGCACCGTCAACCATACCGGCGTGGGGGGCTTGACTCTGGGAGGAGGCTATGGTTATCTCACAGGAAAGTACGGCTTAACGATTGGTATGTGCATGAACCAGTATCAATGAGTATTGATAAAGTCTGCGTTACTGACATCTTCCAGATAATCTATTGTCCGTTGACATTGTCCTCGCTTCTGGTGAACAAGTTGTCGCGTCAGCCACCTCAAACCCCGACCTATACTGGGCTGTGCGAGGCGCAGGTCAGAATTTTGGAGTAGTGACGGCATTCACATTCCAGGCTTATCAACAGAGGAGCCATGTGTTTGCGGGGCCGCTGGTTTTCCTTCCGGATAAGCTACCACAGGTCGTTCAGTTCGCAAATAAGTTTCATACTACCAACGACGGCAACCAAGCGATGCTCATGGGCTTCTCTGCCCCACCACCGGCGAATGCTTCGGTTGTAATTTGCCAGATCTTTCACAACGGTAACGAAGAAGAAGGAAACGCCTTCTTCGCCGACTTATTTGAACTCGGCCCAATAGCGAACATGACCGCCATGATTCCCTACCCTCAACTCAATAGCCTTCTTAATCAAGGAGCCGGCTTTGACGGACGTAAGCTTTTCGGTGGTGGCGCTTTCAGACTCCCCATGGACCCAAACTTCGCTATGCAGCTTCACGCTGAGTTCAATGCTTTTGTGGCGTCGCATGAGCGAATGAACGAAAGCATGATGCTTTTTGAAGCCGTTCCTTATAAGAAGGTCATGGAGATTTCCAACGACAAGACGGCTTTCTCAAATCGTGGCGATTACTATAATGTGGCTGTGATGATGAAATGGTAAGCCAAATCAGCACCACAGAGGAGTTAATATTAAAGAGAGCACAGGTTCGATCCTTCACTCGACGACAAAATTCGTACGTTCTCACGAAACCTTCTCAAAAAAGCCTCAGAAACTGCCTCGGAACGGTCAAAGGATGGTGGTGTAGGTCAGTACGGCAATTATGCAGCTGCCGATGTTGAGGCGAACGAGATCTTCGGCGCAAACGTGAAGCGACTCGAGGAACTTAAGCACAAGTACGACCCCGATAACCTGTTCAGTCATGGCACAAAATTGACTCCGCGTCCCTTGGTAGTGGTGAATTGAGTACTCCCACCATATGTGCATATATACAACACGGGATGAAATGTATCGAATCAGATGCGTACAAAATTCAGTCTCCGGTTTACTACTATATATTTACCACGATGATGCTTTGTTTACCAACAGCTCAGTACATACTTTTGTGTACTTTCCTTCGTCTCGGCTCGAGGTCGGAGTTACCACATCGGATATATATCTACACTACACGACGCGACAGTAGCGCCGGAAATCAGCAACCCCTGACGTCACCCCATACCACCGGCCTCTACAATATTACCAAGCTTCTACGCCACACCCAGATAACCCTGCACGACTAGCCGTATCCACTCCTTTTCAGTCTGCGCTCGGGAAATAATGTCTACCGATGCACCGACAGTATCTGAATCAAAGGACCAACGTTGTGGGGCACGCGATCCACGGAGATTCGTCCTACACGTGCTTAAAACCGAGCGTGCAGACTCTATCAAAATCGCGAAGTTCGTCGCATGCAAGTTCTGTATCTATTCACTTTCCAAGCTTGAACGCCGGCATAGCGACACTGTTTCCCTCACCACAACCTTCTCTATCGTTGAAAAACACAGACGAGTTATATTTATATACATGGAAGTTCACGCCCTACACTAGTAATCATAGTCTGCTACACGTATTTGACAGCATACCCAGTCTTTGTGCACGCCTCTTCTCAGTCTCACGTCACCATGGAAAGCACAAGACGACCACGAGCTCAAAGATCATCCACGTGCCGATCAGTATCCCGACAACGGCGACTCGACAACGCACCATTACACCGTATCTTGTCCAGTCAATTCCCAGACGATCATTCGGTTTATCACCATGAAGATGGCGAGGGAACCCATGTCGACGAGGACGCCAGTTCATTGCACAAGACTGAGACTGAAAGGCGAGACGAGAACTCGTCCAGTGACAACGACGGCGGCGGCGACAGCGGCGATGACAAAGGTGGGAAAGAAGTAAAAGATGATACCGCTCAAGAGGAAAATACGACTTACGAGGAGATACGGGGTGGTATTCCATACGAGCGTGATGTGGTGGCACTATCACGTTTAGAAAAGCAACAGTCTACGCGGTCCGTCAAAGACCCAAATTTGGTATATTCTACCTGACAGACATTGACTGCTACTGTAACATCTAACATGCATAAGGTCACATGGGATTCAGAGTTCGACCCACATAATCCAAAGAACTGTAGGTTTGGTCTCCCCAACTAAGCACAGATAAGTTTTGGTCTAACAGCTGGTAGGGTCCATGAAGCGGAAATGGGCAGCAACTATCATTGTCTCTTCTTTTACCCTCGTCTCGCCAATATCCTCGTCCATGATCTCGCCAGCTCTGAGCAGCATCAGTGCTGAATTCGGCATCACAAATGAAGTCGAAGCCCAGCTTACCTTATCCATCTTCGTTCTGGCGTATGCAATTGGACCGCTGTTCCTAGGCCCACTATCGGAGATCTATGGACGAGTCATCGTCTTGCAGCTGTCAAACTTGTTCTACTTGGCTTGGAATTTGGGATGTGGATTTGCTCAGACATCTGGCCAGCTCATGGCATTCCGGTTCTTCAGTGGTTTAGGCGGATCTGCACCATTAGCTATTGGTGGTGTATGTACTTTCTTCCTGACAGATTCCGTTGGAAAATAATACGCTAATTGACTTACTAGGGCGTTCTTAGCGATTGTTTCCTTCCCGAGCAGCGTGGCCGAGCCATAGCAATCTATTCACTGGCTCCATTACTGGGCCCGGCTATCGGGCCTATTGCCGGTGGCTTCATCTCTCAAAACACGACTTGGAGATGGTGTTTCTACGCCACCACGATCTTCACAGCAATAGTGCAATGTCTCGGGTTCTTCTTTCTGCAAGAAACATACGCACCAAAGCTCCTTGAGTGGAAGCGAAACAAACTGCGTAAAGAGACAAGCAACGAAGAACTACACACTGAGTTCGATAATCCTGATCGAACGCTTGCAACAACTATTAAAATCGCCATGAGAAGGCCGTTCAAGCTGCTCCTCACCCAGCCCATTGTGCAAGTTCTAGCTTGCTACATGGCCTACCTGTATGGCATCATGTATCTGATGCTCTCGACCTTCCCCAGCTTATGGGTCACGCGCTATGGCATGACTATAGGGATTGGTTCTTTGAACTTCATCTCCATGGGCATGGGCTTCTTCCTCGGCACACAGATCACCGCACCCCTCAATGACGCCCTCTACCGCCGCCTAAAGAAACGCAACAACGGCATCGGTAAACCAGAATTTCGCATTCCAATCATGATCCCTGCGTCTCTTCTCGTTCCAATCGGCCTTTTTTGGTATGGTTGGAGTGCCCAAGCGCAGGTACATTGGATCATGCCTAATATCGGTGCTGCGATATTTTGCGCGGGTGTTATTGTGGGGTTTCAGTGTATACAGACTTATCTTGTTGACAGCTATACACGCTACGCTGCGAGTGCTATCGCGGCGGCGACGGTGCTCAGGTCGTTGGCTGGGTTTGGATTTCCGTTGTTTGCACCGGCCATGTATGACGAGTTGGATTTTGGATGGGGAAATAGCGTGCTGGGCTTTATTGCCTTGGCTTTGGGTGTCCCAGCGCCGTTCATGCTATGGAAGTTTGGGGAGAAGTTAAGGAGTAGTAGCAAATTTGCCGCGGGCTGAAGGTGTCGCAGAAGCGTCAATACCCGCCTCGTAATGTGGAATGCAACACGCGGGGGCTTCATGTTGCGAAATCAGATTAGACGAGAGGGCTAATCGAAGTGGAATACTTGAAAGCATACTAGAATAGCCGCACGCTATCAGTCGTGACTTGAGTTTGTCATTCTAAACACGTTCTTCGTAAAACACAAGTCGTGAGCGACAAATCGTCTCTATCATTCCGCCCTTTGTCCACAGCCTAGCTATGTAGAGCTGCTTTTTCAGCTGGTACTAAAACTATGGCCTACGCGATGGCCGATGACGCCAACTGCGTGTCCATCTCAGTCGTCAATTTCGTAATGCAGCGATACATTGAGCCAGCTTCGTCAGTTCCACCTCTCAGTCTTCCTAATCACACCCTGGAGTACAGCAATTAGAGCATCCGTAAGTATATCCAAGATCGACATGTAAAGAAAGCATCGTGAGATGACGGCTACAGCTTTATCGTCACCCTGAGCATCTTTGGGGCGTCGGCGACACACCAGCCGGGCAACACTCCAGCGAAGCACCTCAAAGCTATCTCAATCATCCCGCATACCAGAGCGCGCCTTCAATGACCAGCTCAAACTAAGACCAGGCCCCAGTCTTAGTCAAGATCGCATTCTCCTCTTGGTTGAGGTGTCTGACAAGCTACCTAGGGAGTGGGGGGTGTGCGATTGGGACCGTGCCCTAGCAACCCGCGAACTTCCCCGCATAAACACACTTTTGCTCGACCAGTACTTGCGCCGCAGAGGCCGTTACTCTAACAACCTTTCGCGTCGAGCCCTCAGATACTCTACATAATACCGAAATGTCCGACGAAGATCTCGAGCAGATAAGACGCGCGCGCCTGCAGCAGTTACAACAACAGGGCGGGGGAAGCGGAGGACAAGGAGGCGAAGGCGCCGAGCAAGATTCGCGAAAGTAAATACAATTATACACGAAGATCAAGGTTTCTTACTAAGGCAGAGTTACAGGCAGCAAGAGGGTACGTTTTCAGAATCTCTCCTGGCGCAGACATGCATCACTTGACCACACACTCCCCCTTCGCCCACTCGTCCAAACCCCGCCGTCCATTAGCAACCACGGGCTAACCCTTCCCATCAGCCGACCAGCGTTCCTCCATTCTCTCACAAATCCTTCTCCCCGAAGCAGCCGACCGTCTCGGCCGTATCCGCCTTGTCAAGGAATCGCGCGCAACCGACATCGAGAACAGACTTATAATGCTTGCGCGGACTGGCCAATTACGACAGAAGGTTACAGAAGATCAGCTCAAAGAGATACTGGGGGCTGTAGCAGAGCAACAGGAGAAGGAAGAGCAGAAGATTGTTGTCAACAGGAGGGGAGGGAACTGGGACGATGATGATGAGCTCGAGGAACTCATGAAGGATGTATAGGGAAGCGAGGATAGATAAACAAAGGGAGAGAGACACACACAGATGCTGGGTGTTGCATTAGGCGATGCTTCTGGGACATGCAAGGCAGGTAGTCTTGCGCATGAAAGCTAAGGTACGACTTCTCATGGCAACTTCACGACGTGCATCAAGTCGTACATGATTTGTGACTATTATCCATCTGCCGGTGGTTGTTCAATACTCGCTACTTAGTGCTCAATCATGACGAATGATAACCTGTGGATTAGTGAAGAAGCAAGCACAAGAGAAGAACAACATCAGATGTGCCGTTCGATAAAATCGCAGCCGCAAATGGGAGTAGTACCACCATCCGCTTGGTGCAAACAGTGTGCGCAGTTGAAAAGAGGGTTCGGACGAAGTGAGGCTATAGATGCCGCGTGAAAGACTCAAACATTGTTCTAATGCTAGGTAAGCGTGGGTTTCTACCAGTATACCATCTTCCGAGTGTTATCTGAGGTATAGATGAACAAGCCAACCTGTCGCAAAGACCATGACAAGCATTTGCATGTAACCCCCAAATGAAAGTACCAGATTCGATCACAAGCGCGATCTTGGAGTTGTCGTAGGCATTGAAACCAATGATCTCACGTCGCTGCCATCCTGGCCATACCCTCCCTATCCTCCGCGCTCAAGGTATTGGCCTTGGCAGCTTCCTTCCATCTCTCAAGCTGCTCATACTGCTCATACTCCAGCTTGCCTTTCAATAACTTCAACAGCTTTGGTGTGAACTTTCCCGTTGCATATACGACACCATCGTACTGCTTTGCGAAGAGCAAGATAACTAGCGTTAAGAAGAGTACGGGGCCGTCGGAAGCTTTTTGTTTCTTGATTCGGCGAAGCATGTCGTCGAGCATCGATTGCTTGGCAGCAGCCAGCGAATCTGTAGATGGATGGTTGATACCTTGTTTTTTGTTGAATTTCTCCAAAGCTGAAGATAGTGATGTATTATCCAGAGGCGTCGTGGACTCCAGCACACTCGAGAACTTGGTAACATTCTTTCTTGTTTTGCGGCTGAGGACTAGACCCTGCGCTCGTGCTTTGGCAATAGTATCGGGTATAAGGTCCTTGTGTGCGTAAGTTGCAAAGACCTGAGCAAGCTGGCTGTGCACCTTTTGGTCCATGACTGAAACTAAACCGGCGCTGTATATCCGATATCGGGTGAGCATGCGATCTGTCCAGTACATGGCAAACTCCTCTTCATTCAGTGTTTCGAACGAGGACACGTGGAACCAGAAGCGCTCTTCTAATAACTTCTCAACTGGTTTTTGTTGGAGGAGAAGGCGCTGAACAAGGCCTGTGGGAGGAATCATGTCTTTGATCTTGTCTCGAGTGAATTTCACGTCTTCCACTAGGGTTGGATCGTCGTGTAGACTTTGCCATTGTGCCTTTGCAGCTTCTTTTGCGTAGCCAGCGAGCTCGTCGAGTGCTCCGTCTCGGCGCCTTTCAGTGAGTATCAGAGTGCCGACGCGCACTATCTTCAGCCCTCCAGTGGTCTCGGAGAAGTGAGCGACAATGGAGTTCTTGGCTCGGCCGGCCACCTGCTCCCTTATAGTTGGTGGAAGACGGGAGCCAATCACTTCGGTGACATCAAGGGTACAACCTTCTTGTTCAAGGATGCGTACGCAATCTTGCTCTAACCTGGAGATCCAGATCAGTGATACAGCGAAAGAGTCTATTACCTCAATGCCTGAGAGTTGCTGGAAGTAAGACAATGCGACTTGGGAAGACGGGAAAAGTTCGATGAAGTCGGAGGCGAATCTTTGCACGTCGAGATAGGCAAGAGCGCCGGACTGCAGATCGTAGACTGTGGTATCGCGTTCGGATTCTAGATATCGCTTGGGTGTGCACAAAACGCTAACGTCAGTTTCCTGGATGTTGACCTTGGAAGTAAGATTTTCAGACTGCAAGAGTCGCTCGAGAGTATGCAGAATGAACCATGTAGGGGGATTGTCAGGCAAATCAGCTGGTTTGATATTGAGAGTCCTGTACAGAGTGAGCATGCGATGCATCTAAGGCAAGTCCTGCACTTACCGGACATCATCGACCGTCTTTTGAATCATACTCTTTACTATGTCCGCGATCTTGTGAGCATAGGCCTTAGTGTAGATGTAGCCGTTAGTTTCCAGGACATTATAATCTTGACTGGACAGGAGGAAGTCAAGACTCTTGGAAGAGACACGGTGCTGGGCAATGAATTCGGCCTTGGATGCCAGTCCCTCAGATGACAGGCGAGTGACTATCGTGTCTCGCTCATCTATGGGAATAATGCTTTCCTCGTCCGCGCTGAACAAACATAGCTTGGGGTGGCTGTGGACTAGTTGATGGACAAGTAATCGACCTATGTCGAGGTCGTTGGCCAATGTGGAAACCGGTATCCGCTGTGTCTCTGGTGCATGCTTCAGCAAATGTAGCCAAGAGAGATTACGAACGCTCACCTTTGGTCACGCGGCTTCTGAAACGAGCCTGGACAAACTGGAGCGTAACGAAAGCATGGCCGCTAAAGGACAGCGCAAGCCGCGGAACAAAATCGGAAGTGTCTTGCGGAGGGAAGAGGGCGAAGATGTCCTTCACATCATGTGCGGTAAACATGCCAGCTGGACGTTGGGTAGCGCTGCAGACTAGATTGCCAACATGTACTGTTCAGGAACAGTGCTGTGAGCTCGAACGGTTCGGCGGCGTTGGAGTATATAGTGCAAGGGAAAGCGTCAGAGGCTGGATTGCGCTGATTGGTGGGGAGCGGGCATCGGGCGGCAGAACACCGGGATTGAACAATGTTGTGGCTCATGGTCGAGTGCGCGCAGACATCCAACCCATTCCGCCCACCGCCACCATGTCTCAATTCCGCGCGGCCAAGCTGGACATTGGATGTTTCGCAAAGATTCGCAATATCCGCGACCACACCAAGCGGAAGGTGTACTCGGAGAATGAGCCAGAACGGCATGCGCCTCTGCACCTAATGCTCCCATGGCGCAACGACTGACGACGACACAGACAAGCTCTGCGATACCTGATCCGCAATACCACGCTTCCGCAACGAGTCCGCGCGCAGGCTCAGCTCCAGCTCTCGCAGATGCACTGCTACACACGCTACACCCAGATCAAGAACAGGTGTATAATGGGCGGCAAGGGCCGTGGTGTCTTCAGCGACTTCAGAATGGGCCGAGTATGCCATGGCCTTCTCTTCGCGCGATGCAGGGCTGACGATGCTACAGTATCAATTTCGCGTAAACGCTCTCGCGGGGAACCTGCCGGGCGTGAAGAAGGCAAGTTGGTAGCTGTGCTTCTACGAGAACCCGACTGGTTCCATGTACAATCCCACCTACTTTTGGCTACACATGTAGCCTTGCACATGGCCGCTCTTCGGGCGCACACTGTGAGACATTGCGTGCGAAATCTTCGTGGTTGACCCATCTCACTGTCTACTTTGCCCTCCCCTCGCTCTCTCACCGTGCGAGACACCCTTTCCTAATCGGTTTGCTCTCACCACGCGCTACAAACGACGGCAGCGGCTACCCACCGCGCCAGTGATAAAAGCCGACTTCCGTAGCCATTACACCTACAATCCCTACTCCCGCAATAGCTCTGGCTGCCGTTTTCTAGCAGCTCACTTCGCCACTGTCTACGGTCGATAGACGCCCTCAAGCATCTGCGTCAGCATGTTCCGCCGCATAGAAGACACTCTGGAGCCGGATCCATCATTTCCAGCCGACCTCAACCAACTTGGCTTCTTCATCAACCTCTCAGGTGATATCCGTATGATCGACGCGCCCGAGAAGCCCTATGTCTACCACGCCACCAACAATGAGCGCGTCAACGAGGTGCGCCGCGAGGCCATGCAAAGTACATTCCAATTTCCATTGAAACACTCGCAGCTAACACATCACAGCCTGCCAGCGCAAGGAAGCAGAGAAGCGCCTGTCCTACCTCGGCCTCGAGTGCATCCACCTTCCCGACTTCGCCATGACCAAGCCCAATGGTCCACATGTACCTATCCTTGCTCCACCGCCTGACCTCCTCAAGACGCGAAAGCGACTGATTGTACTGGTAAACGACACCATGCAAGATCTAGGCATCCTGGCGTATAGACAGTTGCAGCGGGAACTCGGCATCAACGGTGGCTCAGTCGTCAACTTTGCCAAGGAGATGGTCAAGTGCTCGGACACTGACAACACCGCTGAAAGGGACGCGAAGATTTTCAAAGATGGTCATGTTCTCCAAGACAAGACTACCACTCCTGCTTTGATTGTCTTGAACGCGGGCCAGCTGCTGTACTCGCACAAGTACGACCAGGCCATGACTCTACGCAGTTGGTCCGCCATGCCACGCAAGTCAATCGCCCACGACATGGTCCGCATCCGTGACAACGAGAACCGTGTTCCAGGTCATGAAAATGCCAAGAAACATGTCAAGACTGTCTTTGACGAAGTCATCTGCAACCCCGATCGTGTTGCAGCTGACGCAGAAGTCTACGTCATCGCTATTGAAGACGGAACGGAGAGTATCTTGAACCTGCTCACGCACGACTGTACGTCTCCTGGCCCTGCTTTCACCTGAGGAGTTTACACTAACGTATTGTTATAGTCGGCAAGTATGGTACCCGTATCACGGCCATGGCGTTCATTCACTCCTTGATCGACGACTCCCAAATCAAAGATGAACAGATTCGCGCTTTCATGCATCAGCGCACACGTCAGTGGCGATTCAGCGATCTGACATGCAACCCCCAGCACTGTGTCGACTTACCGACTGACTACAATCGGCAAGTCAACGGGCCTTGTTCTGCAGACACACCATCAACCATGCAATCAATCAAGCACATGTCTTGGCACGCTTCGATTCCTACAGGCCCAGTCTCGGCTCTAACGAAGGCTTTCCACAGCCTCGCTCTCAGCGTCACCTCTTCGGCCGGGGCTTCCACTCCAACCGCAACATCAACCTCTACTAGTGGAGAAGAAAGCACAGAATGGTCCTCGGGTCAAGCTGTCATCTGCCCTACCTTCGCGGGCGGCGACAATTCGGTTGGTGAATGCATCTTTACCTACCCTCCCACCCAGCATGCCATTCTCTCTTTCTTCCAAGACGTCGCGCAAGACCCGGTCCACTATCGCAACCCACCTGGCCTCCAAATCTTTACCGAAGCCCCCAAGCCCAGCCCCGAAAATCCTCTTGCACTATCTTCAGACCACGAGAATGACGCTGGGCTCTACTTGCAAAATCTCTTGCCGCAGACGACGTCTGAGCACGCTGAGCTAGATGAAGCTCGCGAGCGGCTCGCTGAGTTACAAGTTGCCTTGTCTGCCTGCCCTACTGATGCTGCAGAGCTAGACAAGGGTCGCGTGAAGTTGGAAGTTAAGGTGAAGAGCATGGAGGCGAAGATTGAGGCTTTAGAGATCAAGGCGCTGAGTCACGGCGGACTGGCCGCGGGTGAAGTGGTCGAGAAGCGCGAGGATTGGAAGCCGCAGGTTGAGGGTCCCCAGGTACCATTTGCAGGGACCATGGTGGATAGTGAACTATTGAAGGCGGCGGGGCTCATGGAGTCTGTGGATGAAGAAAAGGCTTTTGTTTGAATGGCGAATGGCAGCTCTAATCGTGTAGCGAAGATGAGGGGATGATGGCAAGTCCCGGATGGAAAGGACACAAAAGCGTTTGTTTTTCAGCCATCCTACGCACCACGAACTCCTCCTCTTGTTACGCCAGCACGAGGAAGACGTCTTTTGGCTGCTCGGCGATGGAGTTAGGGTCATCTACCTTATTTGCATCATGTCTTTGAGAATAAGACCACAGCCTCAATCTCGCTTATCGTTGTCCTCAGGCCTAGGTTCAGTACTCAACTGATTCCCGTTATAGAACTGTTGAGGTACATCTCTTGCCCGCTGGTCCGCCAGCGTTCTTACCCTCATCCCACCCGAAGTTGCCTGATCCAGCACAGGATCGTGACTGGGATCCCGGGTAGGTCTGCTGCCCATGGTACGACCACCACCGCCATGGTTGTTACTGCTACTACCATCACCACCTTGCTCGTGTTGCGCCCCGTAGCCTATAACGGAGCTGATGGTACTCCCCACGTAGCCAACAGTAGAAGTGAGAAGCCCAAAGGCCCCGCCAACGATGCCCGTCGCGGCTCCTGCTATACCTCCTCCAGTGCCCCCGGAATACGCATCCGAGTAACCCTTTACTGGCACCAGTACCAACGTCGCACTGGGCGCTAGATCAATATCGCCCAACTCGACGGCCTCGTCGCCGGCAGAGAGCTCACGACTGGGCGATGGAGCGAGTATATGTCGGAAAAAGTAAGGAGGCAGTTGTTTGTTGTTGATGTGCTCGTCATCCTGGGTCAATTTCCCAAACTCAGTGTCAACCCAGGACCGCACGTCAGTCTGCAGGGTGGCGGAGCGAGGGAATGTAGAGCGAATGGTGCGGCCATCGAACAAACGAACATTGAGAGCGACGGTTTTGGAGTTGGTGCCTCGCGAGGACGTTGGCACTGGCTGTGATGTGTCGGGGGCTCGTAGTGCGCCCTTGTTCCTCTCCTTTTCGCGTTCTGCTTTGCGCAATTCGGCATCTACTTTGCGCGCTGCTTTGTCGGCTTCTATTCGTGCTTTTATACGGGCTAACTCTTCGGCATCTTCTCGTTTCTTCTTTCGCAGGGCGTCGCGGGCTTCTTGTTGGGCTTTGGTGGCGGATGTGGATGGGAGAGTGGGGTGCTGGGAGCCTGTGGCTTTTTGCTTGCCTGGTGTGTTGGACGTGAGGGTGGGTAGTGAGGTTTCGGGGAGGCCATACAGGTCGTCTTCGGCTGCAGCATTCGCTATACTATTCGTAGGTTCTGGTGTGCTTGCGTGTGGGGGAGAGGTTGGTGCTGCGTTGGAGGCTGGGATGGGATTCGCTCCCAGGACGCGTCGGATTGAGTTGATAAAGTCATCTCTCGTGGCATCGTTCTTGAGTTGAACTTGGAGTTGGCCGTTCTGGATGACGACGAAAGTGGGCACGCTCGAGACATCGGAGAAGGCAGCCAGAAAACCGGCTTCGGTCGAGCCCGCTTCGAGTCGCAGGACGACCGCTTTTTGGTGGAGCAGAGTCGACAGCTAGACATGCATCATCAGCGCGTGTTGTGAAAACCTGGCCGAGTCCCAACGTACCCATCCGCTCTTCAGCCACTCGCCTTCCCACTCGTGGCTCGTGGCGCCGTCGTCTACGCAGCTAGTCAGCCACGATGCTACCCAGATTCCGATAGTGCACCGTCACGTACCTCGAACGAAGCAGGCAACGAGTTTCTGCTCCTGAATGGCAAGCGCGATTCCGCTCTGTAGGCTGCCTTGGTGGAACATGTTGGTGGGTGGTGGTGGTGGCTCCATGTCTGCACTACCGCGGGGATTAGCCTGGGAACCTGCTCGGCGCGTGGTACCGAGGGCAGACGACGCACGAGCATGGCCGGCGGCCGTCAGCGCCCGCTTCACTCAGTGGCTTATTCACACGGCGTTGGAGATGTGCAAAGGGAAAAGATGCAATAAACAGTTCTATCGGTAATGCCAAGCCCATGAAACCTCCACGCCGAAGAAGGGTAATGCTGCAATAAGCCAATGCTAGACTCGCTCTATATCCAAACATCAAGCCAGAAGGTGCTGCACAGCATGTGCCCCTTCTGCTTGGTCCCGCCGTTCCGCTTGGGCTTCCCAATGATGCCGACCGTGTACAGTGTCGGGAGTGAGTGGCATATCCAAGTTGTTGGTCTTTTCCCAGTCAGGCCAAAGCCGTGGCCCCTGGGCCCTGGTATCGGCTTATAGGATGGTGCACTTCTTCTTGTTCTTGGTCGCCGACTGCTGGGGACGGGGGCTGAGGACGGCGCTGGGGCAGGTTAGGACAGTCATGCAGGGAGCACATGGGGACGTACCGAATAGCTTCGTCAAAGACACTCTTCAGGTTGCGCTGTGTGAGGGCGGAGCACTCGAGGTACTTCTGCGCCTTGATCTCCTTTGCGACCATGACGGCCTGCTCGTACTGGATGGGCGCCATCTTCTTCTGCCTCAACGACTCCTTGGTCGCCTCATCGTCCCTCAGATCGAGCTTGGTGCCGACGAGGATAATGGGAACGCCGGGCGCGTGGTGATCTATCTCAGGGTACCACTGGCAGGGGGTTAGCGGGTGCGCACGCGGCGTGGCGGGCGGCTTGGTACCTTTGCCTTGACGTTGTCAAACGACGGGGGGCTGACGATGGAGAAGCAGATGAGGAACACGTCCGTCTGGGGGTACGAGAGCGGGCGCAGTCGGTCGTAGTCCTCCTGGCCGGCCGTGTCCCACAGGCCCAGGCTTATGGGCTTGCCGTCGACCATGACATTTGCCGAGTAGTTGTCGAAGCTGGGCGAGTTAGCTCACGCGTGGTGCAGCGAGGGGCGGGCGTACACGGTGGGGATGTACTCGCCCGGGAAGGCGTTGGTCGTGTACGAGATGAGGAGACATGTCTGCGCGGTTAGCAGGCTGCGCGGCTGTCGCGGGGGCGGCGAGGCTCACCTTGCCTACAGCGCCGTCGCCGGTCACGACGCACTTGAGCGATTGCGTCGCGGGAGCAGCCATGGTGCGCGAGGTGTCGCCCGGGGAGCGTGGCTTTGGCGGACCCGGTTCGGCGGAGCAACGGGGCGGCGAGGGTGGAGCGGATCGAGTCGGGCGCAGGGCAGGGCAGGCAGGGCGGCAGGCAGGCAGGCAGGCAGGGCAGGACAGGGCAGGGCACGATGCAGATGCAGCGAGGCGGCGCGTGGGAGGTAGAGGACGCACCGGCGAGACTGCGCAGCACGATGCGGGTAGCAGGTAGCTTCTGTGAAGGCGCGGGAGCTATCTGCAGCGTAGGGGGGCGTTTTATCGCTTGGCAGGCGGCGGGTCACGAAGCGAGCTGGAGCTGGAGCGACCAAGCTCGACGAGCGCGTACCCTCTTGAAACCCTTGTGCAACACGCTGCTCACGCCTGCCATCCGCCGTGCTAGCTAGCTACGGGCTCGTGCTACGCCTACATGCTTCAATACCACACAAACAGTCCCTCGCCGCCTTGCCTGTCCTCGCCCACCAGCTGCTTGCACACCACCAGCCTGACCACGGCCTCGTGCAACTCTCTCATGTCGAGAATGCCGCGCTTCTTCCCGTCAATGTACGACACGTCCACCACGACTCGTTTCAAGTTGGCCGTCGACAAGGCTCCCTCTTGCAAGAGCGCCATCAACCGATCCGGTGTCCCAACCCCGTAGTCGATTCTGCTCTTGCTCAAATGCGCGACCTGGTCTGCGAGCTTCAGGTGCTTTGCAAACAGCTTGGCCACGCTGGGCTTCTCGACTCCCTGGGTAGGTAGCCCAGACTTGAGACATCGGCAGACGTCTGCCGCTCGCATCCCAGAGCCCGTCACTACAAGCGTGTGGGGAGCGCCGGGCGGCTTGCATGGCGTCGCCTCCAGCGTCCCTGCCTGCTTCTTGAGGAAGGCAGGCAGCTTGTCTGTAGTTCGCGGCTCCGTCCAGCTGCTGCTGTCCTGCACCGTCCGCGCTGCTTGACGTCAGCATTTCACGACATGTCTCGGGCGCTCAAACACTGACCAGAAATCCACAAGTCCTCGAGCTCGACACTGCTCAAATCCTTCCCGTAAAGCCGTGTTCGTGCGTTGACATAGTCGGCAACAAGCTGACCATCCATGCGCTCGAAAGCGTGATTGACTCCCAGCCCTTGGTCCAGATCGTCTTCAGAAATCGCCTTTGCTTTCTGCTTCTTCTTCTCTTTACGTTTGGCCTTCTTGGCTGCTTTTTTGCCGTCCTTGCTGGCTTCGGGCTCGGCTTGCCGTTTCCTTTTCTTCGACGACGCGTCAAGATCGAACTGGGCTTCCATCAGGGGCACGCCTCCCTCTGATTCCGAGTCGGACATGGTGAGACTAGTGTTTTGTGTGACGGCGCGACACCTGAGTTCGCGACGGAAAAAGTTGCAGCGCATCGAGCTTCAGCTGCTATCGATAAGCGGCTAGCGCAGATGCACGCCGGGGAAGTCGCGCTACCTTGGTAAGCGACGCGTTTCCCTGACGCCCATCAACACCCGCCTGGGCACCCACCTCGCCTCTCGCATGCCTCTCTTGCCATGGCCGAGTCTGCGCGCAAAACGCAGCGCCTTCCCCCGCGGCGCGACTTGCAGCCGACACCCGACAACGACGCGTCCATGGAGCCCACGACACCCTTCCACCAGGCCACTAGTGTGGGCCCTACTCCAGCAAGCAGGCGGACGCCAGCTCTTCGCACACCAGCATCGGGCGCGACACCGCGGGGCGGACCCGCAGCTCGCCCTCTTCCTTCGCGCAGGATTGCACCCACTACTCCCCACGCGATACGAGCCCTGAGAGAGCGAGCCAATGCGGCAAGGACGCCAGGAAACACCCGGAGACGAAGCGGCCGCGTACAGAGGGAGACACCGCGGGACATACTGCGCCATCTTAGCAGAGGTACGGCTCTTGCAGCCGCCATCTCTCACCTAGCTAACTGTCCATGCAGCCCTCGCTCGTGAACCGCGCCCGGCCCAGCCCTCCCCACAAGCCCTACCTCGGCGAACGCGCCATTCCACCCTCGACCTTCCAGACGTCGAAGACGGCCCTGCCATGCCTCCGCCCCGTCTTTCAATGCCCCTGGAGAACATGTACGACGACGACGATAGTTTCCACAGTGCCCCACCACGGCAGTCTCTCCTACCAGACCTACCAGACGACGTCGATGGCGGGACCGTACAATCGCTCGAGTTTGGACGGCGAGCCATCAGTGAGGATCCACGCTTCATGTTCACGGGAAGGCAGAGTGAGCGATTCGGCGACCTAAGCGAGCTCGGGGCGGTCCAGGAGGAGTACGAGGTCGATGGCACCTTCATCAACACGCGCGCAGATGGCCTCTTTGATCCTGCAATCGACGAAGCTCTAGATGGAGACGAAACCACAGTACAAGCACTGACCGGGCGAAGAGACGCAAGGCCGAGTGAGGAGGATTTGGGCGTGTTTGGAGAGGCAGAGGACGATTTAGAAGAGCCTACCTTTCGCTTTATGATACCGGAGCGCATGCGTGTGCCAGCCCAAGAAGACGTACAAGCATTTCAAGACGAGCGGGAAGAAGACGAACAAGAGCCGGATGACGAGCTTCTGCACCAGTCCGATGATTACGACTCACTCAATAGCGACGACAAGGACGGAATAGCTGCTGCTTTCGACGGCAAAGACCAAACAGTAACCGCCGGCATGTTAGGTTGGGCATCAGATCCCCCTGCAGACAACGACGCCGAACTAGTCGCCTATCGAGAAGAAGAATCTGCAATTGATCGAAGCCTGCAGGCCAAGTCGCCCAAGCAAACACATGTAGCCCAGATGAAGAGTGTTCGCAAACCGAAAGAATACATGGTATCCGAACACGGTATCGGCTTCCCCTCGTTTCCAGCCGCGCCTGTCAAGAAGCTCACTTTGAGCTTCTTGAAGTCGCAGGGAGGCAAGACCCAACTCAATACGGAAACACTCGACGCACTCGTACGCACGACCAACGACTTCTTCGAGCAGATTAGCATAGATCTCGCAGCATATGCACAGCACGGTGGACGAACGACGATTGAAGAAAGCGATGTCATCGCGCTTATGAAGAGGTATGCTGCTCTACTCGACTCTGTTTGGCGTACATGGCGTGCAGACTTATAGCAGACATATACGTTCGGTATACTGACTTTCAAGCAGGACTCGCAAGACCACCGGTACCTGTACCTCGTTTTCTCTGGCGCAAAGGATGCTTCCTAGGGAGTTACTTCAGCAGCTGCGTATGGAGCGTCCGGCCAAGTTGAAGAGATATAAACGGAAACGATTGAATGCTGTCCGTGAGGAAGACGAAGATGACGACTGAAAAGGCACGGTAATGTCTCACGACCAATCAACGCTGTGGCGTACTCTCCGTTGGGTGCCCGACATGGGCTTCTTGACGACCATCCAAAACATGACTGAGGTCGCGAAACTGAGCGCGTACCTACTTGGAGTTAGATGATTGCTTGCAGGAAAAGAGCGAGGCGGCGAACCGTACCATGTGAAGATGTACTGCGTGTGGTTGTTTCGTAGGTTCACGGTGGGCGCCCTACCAATCGGTACGCCCTTGGGTTCACGTTCATAATTTGTGAGCAAATCAGGCGCTGTGTCATAGTTAGATACCCCAATCACATCATCCAAGAAAGACAGATTACTTACTCATCGTCTCCTCCACCCACACAGCCTGACTCCCGCTATACTCGGCCATCTCCTCGACACTGGGAAAGAACCACTTTCCCTTTTCCGGCTCGTTTTTCGGCGTAAACATGTTGCCCTTGGGCGGTATCCTCAACAAGCCCTCAATCGTAACCTCACCCTCAGGCAACGCCCCATTCTTCTTGCGAAACCACTGCGGCGCAGCGTCCTTCTTGA